TTGGGGGAGATCCAGGGGTCTCTGGTGGGTGGGGCAGTGGTCAAGAGGCTCGTCCTACAGGGTAAGGTGAGGTGAGGGAGGGAGCAGGGTGGGAGTGCCATTGCCGTGGGGCAAGGCGAGGCAGGGACCAGGGTGGGGGCTGGTTGCAGACAAAGGGGGGCTCTGGTGAGGAGGAGGAGGAGGAGGAGGAGGAAGAGGGTTTAAGCAAGCTTAGCAACCAGAGTGGGGACCCCCCCCCCAAAAAAATGCTTCGTGGGTAACCTAAAAGCATGACAGAAGAGACCAAAACCTGCTGCAACCACCCAGCACATGGGAGGGGAATAAAAACCAAACAGCCCCTCCCCCACCAATCCTCAACAGAAATGCTCACAACAATGAATGCTTTGGATAGGGGGAAGAGCGTGGGCAGGCGGGTGTCTTGCTCAGCTGATGGCTTGGGGGGAAAGAGGCAGCTGTACCCCCTCCCAAACACTGCCCTCTCACAAAAGCAGGATGAAAACTCCATTGCATCCAGTTTTGGTCACCAGGATGTAAAAAAGATGTTGCCAGAGCTCCTGCTGGATGGGGCTGCTGCTGCGGTTGCTGCACTGGGGCAAGGCAAGGCAAGGCAGTTGGCAGGGCAGTGATGGCCTGGCTGTAGGACCCTGAGGTGCATGAATTGGTCCATGTGGGGCAGGCCGAGCATGGGGTGAAGGATGGAAGGCAGGATCAGAGGGCAAGCCTGAAATGGCATCCTGACTCTGGCAGAGGGCAGCTCTGGGCTTGGGCTTGGGCAGGGCAGAGCAGAGGAGGTAAAAGAGTCCTGGATGCCTTTTGGGGACAGGAACTCCCCACTCTTCCCCTTTACCAGGGCCATTGGAAGTGTAGTGGCAGGTGGGAGGCTCATCCCACATGTGTGGTTGGAACTAGAGGATAAGATTGGATGGCAGAGGCCAAACAGGCAGGGGTCATGATATGGCAATGATAATGACCAGCTAGATTGCCTTGCTGCAGCCCCACCATCTGTGTTTACATGCCTGCAACCACCATGGCTGAAACAGGGCAGGTGGCTGGGTAGTTGCCCAGCACATCCCATGAGCCAGATCGCATGCCTCCCCCCTGTGCCTCTGCTTCTGCCTGCCACTTAAAGGGCCAGCCCAACTGCCATAGTGCTTGGACCCACCTGCACTGCACGGCTGCAGGCTCTGAGGTGTGCAGGTGTGGTGCACATGGGGAGGGGTTGAGCATGGCTTAATGATCCAGCTCACATCCAGCTGGCTATTGCTGCTGGCCAATGAGTGGCTGAGGAGTGAACGAGTTGCAGCTGCTGCCAGGCACTGCCAGCCCCCCGTGTGCTTGCCACCTTCCACCTTCCCTGACTGGGCTGGGGTGGGTCAGGGCGAAGGTGGTGGGAAACAGCCCCTCACCATCTCCAGGGCAGTCCCACAGGCCAGATCTAAACCCATCACAGGCTGGATCTGACCCATGGCCTTGAATTTGGCATGTCTAATTTAGAAGAAAGGTTGAGCCTTAGCACATGGAGTGTAAAGAACCTTAGGGTTTTCTCATCTTTCTTCTACAACTACATTAAATGACTGGGTGAGATCATCATCATGTGGGATGATCAGCATTTGTATTGTGCCTATCCTAGATTTGTGGCTCTGCTCAGAGTCCATTATGCCTTGGTCACTTCCCATGTAGAGTACTGTATTGTTCTTCCTATTGGGCTGCCCTTGAAGACCACTTGGAAAATACAGTTGTTCAAAATGTGGTCTAAATGCTGGCTACATACAATGCTGGCTACATACAATGCTGGCCATTTCTAGGTTCATCCATGTTGCATGATCTGCACTGGCTCTCAGGTTCCCTCCAGGTGCAATTTGAGGTGCTGGTTATCACCTTTAAAGCACTACATGTCCCAGGGTTATCTGAGAGGTACCTCCCTCTTTTAGCTAGGAGGTTGGAATGACTGCCATACCTTGAGTGACCTTGGAGGAACATATAAAAGAAATCTGAGTGTGATGTGGGGTCCTGAATTGAATTACATCTGTGCAGACTCTCAGTAAAGACAAATCTCATAGAGCACCATGGTTTACTGAGGGGCTCCAAGAGATGAAATTGCACAAGAGATGATTAGAATATTGCATGCAATTGATATTATTTCCTCATCCCACCCAGGAAACAGCCCCACAATGATGAGGGAACACAGCGGAACATGGTTGGTGGAGGATTTAGATTCTATCATTTTAAGAAAATTGAATATTAGTAGAGATTTCTACAAACCCTCTGGAGTCTATGGAAGCAAACATCCATGCTCCAAAACCCTTTATATATTATTATTATTATTATTATTATTATTATTATTATTATTATTATTATTATTATTATTATTATTATTATTATTATTATTATTATTATTATTATTATTATTATTAAATCAGTGCTTTCCAATGCTTGCAGCTGGGGCTGGACTATGAAGTTAAGCCAGCCTTTCTCCTGTTGGTTTCTGGAAGGCTTCTCCTGGACCGATCGGNATTGTATTGAAAAGAGGAAGCGCTCGGTTGGTATCCCGGCTTGCACTCGAGGAGGTGGTCAGAAAGAGGGGGGATGTAGAAGGGGAAGGAGGAAGGAGGAGTGGTTGTGGGTTAGAGGTAGGAAGGAAAGGCAAGTGGATGAGGGCGGAGGCAGGTCGGGAACTGCTGAGCGTTTCTGATAATGTATTGATTTGGATTGGTTTTTTTGTGTATGTTTGTATTATAAATGCATCATATTACTTATTGTTTAATTATAAAAATTAATAAAATTTTCTTATAAAAAAAAAAAAAAAGGGGGACAAAATGTTGAAATAACATAGAGATCTTTAACACAAGGCTGTCAATTGTTCAGTTGGTATTTCCAGAAAAAAAAACTCCTGGGACATGATTTTATAATACTTTACTGAAAATTTACATTGGCACAGAAGAAAGCAAAACCAGCTCTGGTTTTGCTGCTCGAAGGCTTGTTTAGTTAAACAATAGACATTGTTCAATAGTAATATTTCTTCTTGTTATGGAAACAGTCTACTTCTCCTTTGAGTGGCCTTGTCTCTCGGTTGCCTAGACATCATCCCTCCCACCTTTCAATTCCATTGTCAAGATATGATCAAACAAGAAAATCTAGGTGAAAAAGCAAATCACTCTTTACACAGGCTTTATTTCCATGCAAGGCATTGGACCTCATTGGGGATAACTGGAAGACATGGAAAACCAAAGGCTGGGTATTTGTTGATCACAACTGATATATTGAGACCAGTCACAGGACTTGATAAGCAATGATTAAATAGACAAGATTGTTCTTTATTTCATGATTTCTTAGAAATATTATCCAATTCTAAATACATCTCAAAGTGAAATATAAATGTGACCTATTCTTGGCACTAGCCCAAAGAACCCTTCTGGTTTCACTACTCCTACATAAAGAGTGGATGACAGTTGTATTTAGGATGGCCTTTGCAGAGCTTTCTGTTATGTGCCAGTTGCACCCATGAGACTCTAATAAGAGTCATTCATGCTCTGAACAACTTCCAAATGGACTATTGGAATGCACTCTACATGCGCTGCCTAGAAGAGCATCTGGAAGCTTCCACTGGTATAAATGCAGAATTAATGCCTTACACATGGATATGACCAGGTCATTTGACCAGGTCATTAGGTTTGAGGATCACAGGAATATCTATCTATCTATCTATCTATCTATCTATCTATCTGTCTGTCTGTCTGTCTGTCTGTCTGTCTGTCTGTCTGTCTGTCTGTCTGTCTGTCTGTCTGTCTGTCTGTCTGTCTGTCTGTCTGTCTGTCTGTCTGTCTGTCTGTCTGTCTGTCTGTCTGTCTGTCTGTCTAGCTAGCTAGCTAGCTAGCTATCTAGCTAGCTATCTACAGTATCTATCTATCTATCTATCTATCTATCTATCTATCTATCTATCTATCTATCTATCTATCTATCTATCTATCTATCTATCATCTATATATCCCTCCATACATACAGACACACACATGTACATCCATACATATGTATATACATAGAGATTATGTGTATGTTTACAGATTAAATGGATTTAAAGTGTTTTAATTCTTGTTTTCATTGTTTTATATCTCAGGATCAAGTTATAGATTTTAGAAAGGAGGGGAAATGCAAGTTGTTATGCTCTTTGTAAAACGTCTAATAAAAATTTATTTCAAAAAAGTGAGGCAACATAAGGGAAGGAGAAATAATGCATGCATATTTATAAGTAATAACCTAATAGATCTGCTTTTCTGTTATCTACAGAGAACAATGGTCTTGGTTGGAAGAAATTTTTGAATGTTGAGATTCATAGGGTAATAATAATAATAATAATAATAATAATAATAATAATAATAATAATAATAATAATAGTAATAATGATGATGATGATGATGATGATGATGATGATGATGATGATGATGATGATGATGATGATGATGGAAGGGACCTTGGAGGTCATCGAGTCCAATCCCCTGCTCAGGCAGGAACCCTACACCATTTCAGACAAATGGCTGTCCAGTCTCTTCTTAAAAACTTCCAGTGTTGGAGCATTCACCGCTTCTGGAGGCAGGTTGTTCCATTGGTTAATTGTTCTCACTGTCAGGAAGTTTCTCCTTAGTTCTAAGTTGCTTCTCTCCTTGATCAGTTTCCATCCGTTTTCTTCTCGTTCTGCCTTCTATGAGAATGTTCGAATAAAAATTACCATGGGTCCTGGGAGCTGAAAGGCTATATTCCTTAGGTCTCAATTTGTCTATTAAACAGATTTTAGTCACATTAATTGACAGGCAACTAGAAAATCCTGGCACTCTTATATACGAGAACTACAGCAAGATTATTATATGCTTGAAAGTCAAAATATTTGATGCTACTCACAATGGAAGATCATGCTTCATGTCATCATTTTTTTAGAAATGACAACCCTAACCCTAAACAGACCTTAAAGTCAAATATATTGTAAATGTGGCCTATCTCTGCATTAGTTAGTTATTCTTGTTTCTTACTATATTTTCTCTACAATTCAGATTGGGTTTCAGTAGGATAATGTAGCATTTGGGAAAAAAGATACAAGCCAAGAGAGCAGTTCCAGAGGCCAAAATGGAGAAGATCTCCACAGCCACCATGGCCTTCCCTTTGGTGCTCAGATAGGTGGGGAGGAAGGTGATCCAAACACTGCAAAATATCAGCATGCTGAAAGTAATGAACTTGGCTTCGTTAAAGCTGTCAGGCAATTTCCTAGCCAAAAAAGCCAAAATGAAACTGACGAGAGCCAGGAAACCCAGGTAGGCAAGGACAGTGTAAAACATTAAAGCTGAGCCTTCATTACATTCCAGGATGGTCTCTCCTACCAAGGAGTGGAAGTCCAAGTTGGGAAATGGGGGAGAGGTTATTAGCCAGGTGGCACAAAGACTTGCTTGGACCAGTGGACAGGCTAAGACAATGGAGTTGGTCAGTGGTTTTCCTAAGAGTTTCCTTGTACTGTTCCCTGGCTTGGTGGCCATGAAGGCCAGAACCACCATGACAGTTTTAGCCAAGACAGAGGAAACTGCAAGGGAAAAGAGGATGGCAAAGGCAACTTGTCGGAAGAGACAGGTAAACTTCTCAGGCTGACCAATGAAGAGGAAGGAACAGAGGAAGCAGATCAGGAGGGAGACCAGGAGGATGTAGGTGAGATCTCGATTGTTGGCCTTGACAATTGGCGTGTTGCAATGTTTAAGAAAAATCACCAGGATTGCAGATGTTATCGCAGAGAGAAAAAGAGCAAGAGATGCTAAAATGTATCCAAGGATGTCTTGATAGGAAAGGAAGTGGAGCTTCTTTGCAATGCAGTGGTTCTTATCCTTATTGGGGTATTGGTGTTCTGGGCAAGGGTCACAGTGAGCTCCATCTGAAATTAAAAGTTTAGCTTTTTCAGTTGCACCTACCATGAGGAAGGTCTCTGTCTCCCACAGAGGGCCTAAGTTGTGACTCATGTCTGCAGCAGACAACTCAAAAAGAAAGTAATAGAATACACCATAGTCCACCAGAAAGGTTAGATCTTCCTTGGTTTAAGATGAATCAGGGGATGTGTTGATAATGCACAGGGATCTCTTGAGTTTTAATGGTCTTATAAGTTGGCTATTTCAATTCGGATTAGAGGTTTTCACTCTATATTGGAATACCAATATATCTGTCATCCACAAATCCTGCTCTTTGATTTTTGTCTACATTAGTTTTTCTCAATGTCAGCAGCTTTCAGATGTCTGGACTTCAACTCAGAGAATACTGGCTGGGAAATTCTGGGAGTTGAAGTCCACACATCTGAAGTTCACTCAAGTTGAGAATCACTGAAATACATTATCTATTGGTGTTTGCTGAGAAGATCACAACAAGAGAGACAAACACGGACATTAATGCAGAATGGGAGGTGGGTGAGAGAAGGTATCCTTAGCCTGATCAAAAGTGATTCTCAGGAGAAATTTGTTTTAGGAGGGCAAAAGGAAAGAAACACCAAAATGCACAATGTACAGTAAATGAGAGTTCTGTGGCTTCAATTCTATGCTAAATATTTCAAATATTTTGTTTTCTCCTATCACTCAGATTTAACTTTTGCACTGTCAGAAATTTTATACCAAGCAAAGAGAGATTGATTTTCTTCTTTCTCCCAAAGATGTATAGATTTCTCTTGGAGATCTCAATACTAAAAAAAAGAAATAAAAAAATCATAAATAAGACAAATTAAGAGTTGAGCCCCCAACTATAGGAAGCCAGTCATTCAGGATAGTGATCAGGAATTTTCCCATTTGTATCTAATATTAACAGAATAACAGAGTTGGTAGGGACCTTGGAGATCTCCTAGTCCAACCCCTGGTCAAGTAGGAAACCCTATACCATTTCAGAAAAATGGTTGTCTTTTCTTAAATCTTTTCTTAAATACCTCCAGTGTTGGAGCACCCACAACTTCTGGTGGGCCGCTGTTCCACTGGTTAATTGTTCTCAATGTCAAGAAATTTCTCCTTAGAGGTAGGTTGATTCTCTCCTTGATTAGTTTCCATCAGTTGCCTTGGAAAATAGATTGACCCCTTCTTCTTTATGGCAGCCCCTTAGGTATACAAAGACTATTATCATGTCACCCTTAGTCCTTCTTTTCATTAAACTGGAGATACCCAATTCCTACAACTTTTCTTCATATGTTTTAGCCTCCGGTCCACCAATCATCTTTATTACTCTTCTCTACATTCTTTCTAGAGTCTCAACAACTTTTTAAATATTGTGGCAACCAAAACTGGATGCAGTATTCCAAATGTGGTCTTACCAAGGCATTATAAAGTGATATTAATACTTCATGTGACCTTGATTCCATCCCTGTGTTAATGCAGCCTAGGACTGTATTGGCTTTTTTGACAGCTGCAGTACACAGTTGGCTCATTATGAGATTGCCTAGTAGGACTCCAAGATCCCTCTTGTAGTTATTGATACTGGCATAGTGTACAAGCTTATGAAGCTCCCTCTCTATCCTGAGTCTATCTTCTGGGGTGTTGGCTATTCCTGCCAGCTTCATGTTGTCTTCAAATTTGATACATTCCCCTTCTATCCCCTCATCTAAATAATTGATGATGATATTGGAGAGTATTGGGTCTAAGACAAATTCTTGGGTTTCCCCACTCCCTACATCCCTCCATGCCTGAATGGGAGTGGAACAGAGTGGAGGGACTGACCAATTCTTGCCCTGGAATTATTGTGTATTCAGTGGTGGGAGGACAGGACTTCCAAATTTACATTCCTAAAGAGAGATTTTTATTTATTTTTATTTATTTTTTATTTTATTTTATATTATATTATTATATTATTTTATATTATTTTATATTATTTATATTTTATATTTTATATTATTTTATTACTTTATTTTTATTTATTTTATTATTTTATTTTATGTTATATTATTTATTTTGTATTGTTTTGTTTTATTTTGTTTTATTTCCTTATTTTATTTTATTTTATTTTATTATTTATTATTTTTATTTATAGTATTTTTATGGCCCCATCTTTACTGTCCATATCTTACTGCATGTGCAACACTTAATTAAAAAAATACATACAAAATATTTAATAAAGATTGTTATTATTAAATATTATAAGAACTGTAAAAAAAAACACAAAAAAGGGACCCTGATGTTCCCCATGGTCAGGGAGCCATCGCAGGCCCTCTGGGATTCCCAGTCTGATAGCCAGAGTTTCTTTGTCCCAGGAAGATCTACAATGAAAGGAGGTTTCCCAAATTGGCTGTACCTGTCTGATTAGAAATGGTCCCTTCTGGACAAGAGTCACATTGGTAGCAGCAAATCTGCTTGCCCTCTGGAACTCGTCTTCTCTCTCCTGGCTGGCACCTCTTCATGCCACACCTGGCAAAGGGCACCTTCTAAGAGAGAAAAGAGAAATGCTTGAGTTGTCCTAAAAATGAACATGCTTCATTTGTTGTTTCCAGCTTCCTATTTCCATTTCAAGAAGGTCTTCAAAAGAAAGGGTTCACCAGGAGCTAAGGAAACCTGGAATAGCTCTTGGAGAATTCAGATGAGGGGCCTTCAGAAACCACCAATAGTTGCTGCAGATTATTACTGGGACCTTGACATACAAAGGAAGGCTTTTGACACTGAGCTAAAGCTTTTCTAAAAGAAAGAATCACGAGGGTCCAAATGAACAGGAATGGTCCATGGAAAACACTGTTGCCTGCTCTTCATGGCATCCTGGGTTTCAAGCAGAAAATCCTTTCCAATCGCATTGCTTCATGTCTTTTAATTCAGATTGCTTTTATTGTATTTTTCATTTTGTTGTTTCTGTACTGCCTATAGTTGTATTATTGGTGAGATGGGTAAAATATTAAAAAAAGTAAGTTAATAAATAAATAATAAAAAATTAAAAAAATGAACCTGCCCCAAATGATACCTCAAATGTGTTACACTCAAAGCAGGTTTTTCATAAAATGTCTGCCACATTTTCTGATTCAGTAGATCTATTTTCCAGTTAGAAGGATGTTGGTCAATCCCAGGAGAGAACGAATCTTTTCCTGAATTTACAAGATTTCCTTCCAGCTCACCTCTGTAGCCCAGATGATTGCACTGGAGTTAATGGTGAAATCCTGGCCTGGGGGAGCCCCAGAATGTATTTGCCCAATTTTCATGGGGACAAAAGATTGATTGGGGAAAAGAACCCAGTTGAAAAGATCATAACTAGCAGATCCCAGTCCATTTTCTGAGAAGAAGACTTCCTCTCCAGCACTGTTGTTGAACTGGATCTTCCTCAAATAGTCAAGAAGCTGAAAGAAAGGAGACCTTCAGAAATTGGAGTACTTGCTTTAAAGGTACAAATAAGACATCACGGCTTCGATCGTTCTGTGATGACCATCATCTTAACAGACAGGGGTATAGATGAAAAGCTAGATGAGTTTTCTTGGTGGAGATCTGAGCTATAAGGAGGAACAAAATTATCTGACTGATACTGTTCAACAGCTGAACTGTTCAACAAATGGCAAACTGAACAAATGGAGTGGGATCACATAGGATGCTAAATTATAGAAACATAAACCAAGGTTAAAAGGAGTTGAATGTCTCCTTCCAGATTGGATTCAGGGTGTACCTACTGAGGGAAAACTTGATGATTCTATGGATCTTACATACATCTAGTTGGTTTACTTCTCTTTCCCTCCTCTATCCCTTTTCAATTAATTTTTAATTAATTTCTGTTTTAATATGCTTTGACTTTCATTGAGATAGGGTAGCATATAGCTATTTAATCAGTAATTGGTGAAATGCACCCGGGAGCTTCCTCTCTAATCATTTGTGGCCTGAGTAAAAAAATACATAGATTACCTGCCATGACTGGACATTTGAGATCGTCTTTCCAAGTCTCATCATGGTTGGCCGTGCTTCTGATCCATACATTGCATGTAGAGCGTGTGCCAGAGCATAAATGCCATTGTAGATATTATAACTTTCACCTGTCATGATTGTTTCAAATATATAAGATGGTAGATTCTGCAAATTCTCCTTTCCTGTACATTGTCTTTTCCACTTTTTAGTGATCTCTCCTGGTTTGTGGATTACACAATCAAACATTTCTTCCCACCATAGTGGGAGTAAATCATCTCCTTCTGGGTTCAAAGGGTCTAAAGACAGGAGAAAATGGCTGAATTCTGAGAAATCCTTTGTGTGGTCCTTAAAATGCAAAGCCCCGTGAAAGTACTTTCTAAATTGCAATACTTGTTTAGATCCCACCACACTAAAATCGCAAAAGGAAGGTAGGATCCAAACTTTCCGAAATGACATGGATTGTCCATAACTAAGAAGGATGAGCAACACCATTGAAATAATAGTGGAGTCTCCAAACAGAGTAATCACTTCAGCTTCCTGAAACATCTTGAAAATAAGTGGTCCCATCACTTTAATAACAAGAATATCAAAATTGAATATTTTAGGCAAGGCCAAGCAGATCTCCTTCTCCTTGAGCATTGGCATCAGAGTTGAGGTGAAATGTTTTCCACTGTCACTTTCAGAGGGAATAAGCCCAATCCAGTTCCACTGGAAATACAGGAGCAGCTGGACTAAACCCATATACTGAGGAAATTCATTGGGATTAATCCGGAAGAAGGAAGGATAAAGGGTTCTGTCTCCTTGAGAAAACTCATAGCTGACACAGAGCTGGAGAAAGTGAGATTTTTTTCCCAAAGACAAAGAAAATTTCATGGTGACTTTAAGGATCTCAATTGTTTGGTTATTGTTCCACCAGTTAGAGTAGCTCACCCTGAGTTGCAAACTAAAGCTGCTTCACTTGTTAGGAAATGCCACCATATTGCCTGGTTGTGACGGGTCAGAACATAAGGGAAGAAAGTATTAAGCTGATACAGAGAGTAAGGGAACTCATCATCTGGTGTTGTTGGAGCTCTACCCCCCACCTTTGGGGCTCAGGGGAGCTCCACGACTCCCAAAGACTTCAGGGCTGTATCTTTCGTACGCTGGCCGTATTTGCTGCAATATAATAGTGTGAATGTGGAAGTGGTTAAACCTCTACTTTCCCCACAGCAATTGGCTGCCACAGCCATCACAAGAGGTCAGGCAAGAAAACCCCCACCCTTAGATGATGTGGTGGTTGGGGAGTTCAGGAAGGCACTGGGGAAAGATGAGTGGTTCAGCAGCCATAAGAATCTCTGTTCTGTGCAAGATAGGTTAGCTTGGGTTGGAGGAAAGCTCTATGTGCCTGCCAATCAAAGATTGAGAATCATGCAGGCCTGTCACGATTAAAAAAATGGCAGGACACTTTGAGTTTGTAAAGACTCTTCATTTCCTCAAGAGGCAATTGTGGTGGCTGTGCTTGAAGAAGTACATTGAAAGTTATGTGGCTAACGGCACTATTTGTGCTGCTGCTAAACACAGGCAGGGAAAAATGCCTCACCTCCTGCAGCTGGTGGTGAGCCCTTCAGCCCCCTGGAAAGAGATCTCTATGGATTTCATTGTCGAGCTGCCTGAAATTGCGGGAAACACTATCATTTGGGTCATCACTGACTTGTTTTCTAAACAACCCCAATTTATCCGGTGTCAGAAGATCCCAACAGCTAAGCTGTTTGTGCAACATATCTATTGCCTTAATGGTGCTTCAAAATGTATAATATCTGATAGAGGTGTCCAATTAATTTCTAAGTTCTGGAAAACCTTTTTGGACCTTCTGGGTTCAGTTCAGGGCCTGTCATCTAGTCATCATCCTCAAAAAAATGGAGGAACAGAATGAACAAACTCTATTCTGGAAAATACCTCAGTTGTTTTATTAATTATCAGCAAGACAATTGGACTGATCTGATGCCGTTTGCTGAAGTGGCTTACAATAATGCAGTACAATCTAGCACTGGGTTCATCCCTTTCCAAGTGGAAAATGGCCAGAGTTTCCTTCCTATGCCTGAATTGCCTGCTACTAAACCCACCATTCCTTCCCTAAAAGAGTGGGTTCATCAATTGCATAACATCTGGCCAGTAGCTAGAAAAGCCCGGGATGAGGCTAGGGAAGCTTATAAAGCACAGGCTGCCAAGAAAGGAATGGAACCTAAACCTTTCCATATTGGAGATAAAGTTTATCTCTCCACAAGATTCTTACAACCATTGCATAATCAAAGAAACTGGACCCAATTTTTTTTTGGTCCATCTCCTATTAAATCATTATTAATCCTGTTACAGTAGAGCTAGAACTCCCTAAGAGTTGGAGATAAATCCACCCAGTTTTCCTTTGTAGCTTATTGAAACCTGAAGTCACCTCCAAATTAAGACCTGTGACTGCTCTGGCTCCTCAACCTATTATGATTGAGGGTGAGCAACACTTTGAAATTAAGAATATTTTAGATTCCTGCAAACATCATGGGTCCATACAGTATTTAGTGGCCTGGAAATACCTGCCTGCTTCATAGAATGAGTGGGTTTATAAGAAACATGTTAGAGCCCCTAGATCAGACATGTCAAAGTCGTGATGTCACGTGACGTCATGTGACATATCGGAGCTTTTTTCCCATTGCTGGCAATGAGGTGGGCATGGTTTCTTGGTGATGCATCTGGCCCGTGGGCCGGCAGTTTGATACCCCTGCCCTAGATTGTGCAAATGCTTTCATGCACACTATCCAGATAAGCCTGATTAATGTGTTTCTTTTTGTGTTCTTTTTCTACTTCCTGTTTTGTTTTTCAGGTGGATTTGTCTTTCTATTAGGGGGGGTGAATGTCAGAGCCCCTCAATTGTATTTGCCTTTAATCCTTCCTTTTTTCCCTCTCTTGCTTTTGCCTATGTATTTTTGGGGCTTGCCATACTATTGGAGGAGGGTGCCTGCTGCAGGAATATTATCTACTTTATTCTACTCTGAGATGCCCTCCTTCTGGGAGATAGGAATGTGTCCTGAAAACATCTGCCTTATCTCCAGAAAATGGAGCCGGAGACTGTTGAGAAACGAAACCAGGAGAGACCTTGAGAACCCGCTAAATCTCCAGCTTCTCATAACACTATGGCATCTGCAGATTGGCTGGATTTCAACTGGACACTGGGGGGAGGAGACGTGAATTGCTTTTTTGATGTAATCATTTATGTGCCAAATCTCAGACCTTGCTTTGCTCTCTTGCCATAACTAACTCAATAAAAAGTTTCTTTTGAGACAATGCCTGTTTCAAGAGTTCTGCTTTCTTGGGAGATCTAGTTGAGGCAGGTCCGTAGAACTGCATTGAAAAAGTAGCTACACTTTTATGAAAGTCGAGAAATAATTCCTCTTGGCAAGTATAGCATTTCAGTATTATCTCATCCTCTCTCTCTTTGGAGTTATACTGTATAAAAATGTATCTTGATACATAAAATATAAAAATAAATTCAACAAAAGCATAGATTCTCTAAGCCATATACCCCTGATATGCCACCCTCCCACCCCCCCTTCAAAATAACTTGGCTTCATCTTTGGTGGCTGTGTGTTTCTGTTCTTTGTCTACCTCATATTGTATGCAGTGAAGCCCCCTTACCTGTGGGACCTTGTAGATGCTGAAGATGGAGGCCATCTGCCTTGAGGATTTTGGGTTGCCACTTCCAATGACAGAGAGCAGAGTACCGTGCCTGCCACATTTATAGCCTGGAACCATTTGACCTTGCATGGAGAGCAGGGAGAGGCTGATAAAGGAACTATTCCTCTCAGTCTGGTGATTGTCGTAGATGTGGAAGCCAAGGGTGATGTTGGGAAGGAGAAGCAGATCCTTGTTGATCTCTGTGATGGCAAACTTCAAGGTCAGGAACTGCTGGTAATTTTTGAGTATAGGCCTATAGTGAGAAAATCATTGGGACACACATTACAGCACAACATCTATGTGCTGGTGGAATTAGAATTGCCTTATTCTGGTTTTATTTAGAGCAGCAAATCGCATGTTTCATTGGGCTTGGTTTTTTTTTCAAGGAAATACCTTGATTAAACTTGGATGGCTTTGTGAGTTTGGACAAAAGCCTATCTTTCCTTATCATGAACTATTTTATACCCCATGTCATCCCTCACTTCTTCATTTTCCTGCAGTGATTAGAATCCTTCCCAGTTGCTCCTTTACAACCCAAATGAATTTGGTTCTCTCTTTGAGCAGCTTCTTCCGGTCTGGTAACTGTTCCTGATCACAACACTCCAGTTGGGTTCACAGCATAGATTTACATAGATTATTAATGAGCACTGCTGATTCCAAAACTGAGCTTTATTTTTTTTCAATATGCCACACTGGAAAAGGACTGAGCTTTTATTTAAATTTTCCACTATGATTTTCTGTGTAAATTAATACAATAAGTCAACTTCTTCCCCAGGCCAGGACAATTTCTAATGTTTTATCATCCTCCTCACATTTTATATTGTTTCTCCTCTTTCTGATGATGAATTCTAAAAAGATTGAGAATTATAGTCTTTAAAAAAATATTGACTCAATTAACATGTCATCCATCCATTAAGTCCATCTCACTGCCACAAAGAGGAGGAGGTCAGCTTATTTTCCAAAGCACCACAAGTCAAGACAAGAAACAATGGATGGAAACTAATCAAGGAGAGAAGCAACCTGGAATTATAGAGAAATTTCCTTACAGGGAGAACAAGTAATCAGTGGAATGGCTTGCCTTGCAGAATTGTGGGTGCTCTATCACTGGAGGTTTTTAAGAAGAGACTGGACAGTTCACTTGTCTGAAATAGTATAGGGTCTCCTGCTTGTTCAGGGGGTTGGACTAGAATAGAGCTGGAAGGGACCTTGGAGGTCTTCTAGTCCAGCCCCCTGCTCGAGCAGGCGAACCTGTACCAACTCAGACAGGTGTCTGAGACTCAGACAGATTGTCTAGTCTCTTCTTAAAAATCTCCAGTGATGGAGTGCCCACAATTTCTGGAGGATAGCTGTTCCACTGGTTAATTGTCCTCACTGTTAGGAATTTTCTCCTTAATTCCAGATTGCTTCTCTCTTTGATTAGTTTTCAACCATTGTTTCTCGTCCTTCCTTCTGGTGTTCTGGTGAACAACCTGAACCCCTCTTCCTTTTGGCAGCCCCTCAGATACTGGAATACTGCTATCATGTCTCCCCTATTTCTTCTTTTCTTTAGACTAGCCAAACCCAAGTCCTGCAGCCATTTTTCGTATGTTTTAGTCTCCAGGTGTTTGATCATCTTAGTTGCTCTTCTCTGAATTTTTTCCAAGCTCTCAACATCTTTTTTGTGATATGGTGATCAAAATTGGCTACAGCATTCCAGGTGTGGTCTTGCTAGGGTTTTATAAAGCGGTACTAATACTTTGTGTGATCTTGATTCTATGCCTCTGTATATACAACCCAGGATTGTATTAGCTTTTTTGGTTGCTGCTGCACACTGCTGGCTCATAGTCAAGTGATTGTCCACTAGGACTCCAAGGTCCCTCTCACAGTTACTGTTTTTAAGCCAGCTCTCACCGAATCTGTACTTGTACCTTTGATTTTTCCTGCCTAAATGTAAAACTTTGCTTTGCTCCACATTGAAACTCATTTTGTTGGATAGGGCCCATTGTTCAGGTTTGTCTAGATCTTTTTGTATCCTAAGTTTGTCTTCTGAGGTGTTGGCTACTCCTGTCAGTTTGGTGTCATCTGCAAATTTGATGAGTTCCCCTTCAATTCCTTCATCTAAGTCATTGATGAACATATTGAAGAATACTGGGCCTAAGACAGAACCTTGTGGTACCCCACTGCTTACTTTACTAGATGATCGCCAAGTTCTATTCTGATTAACTATCAAAGAGACAATATTTAAATTTTATTGAGAAAAGTACAAAGTTTTGAGCTACCCCATGACATTGCAAAGATTACTACAACAAGTATTTCTGAAAGGAATCCTTGAACGTAAAATAAAGCAAACTATCATCTATATATTTCTGTTACAGGTGAAACTTACAGCAGCTCATAAAGAATCTTGGATGGTTCTTTAGTAAAAGGTGGATTGTTTAAGTATTGAATGCTTGTCAGATGCAAATTCCCACCAATGATGAGATCACCAGGCCTGTAATATTCTTGCTGAATCTGGAAAGTGTTTGCCAACACACCCATGTTTGGCATCTTCTTAGCATTAGCTGGAGGTAGGAAGCATAAGAGCAGTAGCAGGTGTGGAAGCTGAGTCATTCTTGTCACCTTTAGATCAGAAATCAAGGATTATGCAGAAGCTGAATTGCAGGTAGCACTTGGATATCTCACCAGAGCTTTAGCACAATAGGGACAGGCCATGTAATCTGGATGGTCTTGGGGCAAATTTATATCAACCATGTTTTCTCTTACCTGTGTTTGGGCTTTCATCAAAGTGGAAATGAAGGCCATCTAAGTCTCACCAAACCCAGGAATTCATTCTTTGCAAGACAAGGCAACGTGACATATGACATAATCCTGCCCCAACAGGAAACATCAGAGCATATTTTTTTGTAAAGCAGGTATATCTTGTAAGATTTTTTTGGGCAGAAATCCACAGGGAATGCATTAACAATTACTGTTCTTTTAATAATTGCAAGGAAAAGGGCTTCCCACTTAGGATTAAATTTTGCTTGTGCACCAAACATGAAAAAAACATCTTTATGTCTCTTGTGATTCACAGAGCAGATGAAATTGAGAGTGAAGGTGAAGTTGGGTATTTGACATACAGTACATGAAACTGAGCACCTGAAGTCAGTGTTGGTTAGATTGAGCCAAAATCCCTGATTTTCAAGGTGCCTCAGTGAGGCCTTCTCTGTTGGAGGTCAGTAGCCATAATGACATTGATCAAGCCGAAGTAACCCATTTTAATAATAATAATAATAATAATAATAATAATAATAATAATAATAATAATAATAATAATAATAATAATAATAATAATAATAATAATAATAATAATAATAATAATAATAATAATAATAAAGTTGGAAGGGACCTTGGAGGTCATCAAGTCCAACCCCCTGCTCAGGCAGGAAACCCTATATCATTTCGGACAAATGGCTGTCCAGTCTCTTCTTAAA